CACTGCAGACAGAACAGAAGGCGTGGGACAAATGTGAGTGGGGAGGGCTGTCGTATGGGACCCAGACGAGGGCGGGGCAGCGGCTCGCACGTGAAGCCAAGCCGGGGGCTGCGCCCTGCTCCTGTGCAACCCGGCTATTCAGGGANAGCTGCCTGCCTGCAGTGGAGTGAAGCAGAAGAAGACTGATGGGTGGAGCTGGGCTGCAGCAGCAACATGCAGCAACGGCGCCGGCACCGGCAGCTGCTCACGTTGCCTAAGTGCTGGACCGGGGAGGGCGGTGGCCGGCCCTGTCGGTGACAAGAGTGCTAAATGATTTGTGAGCATGATTGTAACCACTAGCTTGAGGAGAGCATTCTGCAGAGGGGGTAGTCAAGAGTCTGTGGGCGCCAGCTGCAGGGCGCCATTCAAAAATGCCAAGCTGCAGGGAGGCGTTTCCCGGTCCGCCCGTGCGTCCAAACCTTTTCTAACACCATTGGAATGCGATCAAGGCACGTGGCCCGCGAGTGAAGTTGGTTTTCAGGCGGTTTTGCGCCCACTGACAGGTGGTGGGAGCTCGCTGCACACTTGTAGGGCGTGTTGGCCCGCTTTTCAAGAGCCCAATGAGTGTACAAAAATGGGTGAATCGAGCGGCTGGCGGGCATGCACGCATGAGGGCGTCCAGGCCCTAAGGTGGGCAAGGGTGCACGTGGCAGAGGTGCCAACTCGCCATGCCCAGCATGCGTCACAAAAGCTGAAATTGAGCCATTAAACTACCCGCCAGAAATGCATGTCACGGCAGCCAGCAGCAGCAGGCCGGCAGCGCCGCCCGGTGGGCCGGCCCCCAGGCGCAGGGCGCCTACAGTGCGCGCTGCAGCCACACCAAGTGCTCCTGAGGCCCAGGAGAAGAAGGGGTTGCGAGTGTCCATGGTCAGGTATGTGGTGTGGTGGGCCTGCAGTATGCATGGCGCCATGCGGCCGGCGGCGGCTGGTCTGCGGCCAGCAGTGCGGCCACCCCATTCTCCTCCACGTCCACCCTGCTGCAGCCTGGGCTGCCCCAAGAACACAGTGGATGGCGAGGTGCTGCTAGGAGATCTGTACCGCTCAGGTTTCGAGATCACAGACGCACAAGACGAGGCGCGTCGCTGCGGCAGCCGCCCGACGCCTATGCCTGCTGTCCCCAGCTGGCTGCCGTGCCGCTGCCGTTGTACTGCTGCTGACGTGCCCAGTCAGGCCAGCCTGCAGGCGGACGCCATTGTGATCAACACGTGCGGCTTTGTGGAGGATGCCAAGGATGAGTCGATAGAGGTGCAGCGGCGGCACGCCTGGTGGCGGCAGCAGCAGGCTCGACTCATAGGGCGCATTCGCAGGGTACACCCTGCGAGTTGTGGCACCACCAGGCAGCTGCGGCAGGGCGTGCTGCAAGGAGCAGGAAGCTGCAGCAGCGACTGGGTGGCGCTGGAAGCAGCGGGCTGCAGGCCAGCTCACGGCAAACCACCTACTCTCGGCGCACCTGCTGTCAGCAGCCCGCCCAAGCGCTGCGCTACAGCCCGGCCCACGCCTCTGTCGACCCTGATCTCCTCCTGCCCCTGCCGCCGCCGCGCCGCAGACCATCATCGAGGCGGCGCGCATGAAGGAGGATGGGCGTGTGAGGCGGGTGGTGGTGACGGGGTGCCTGGCGCAGCGCTACTCTCAGGAGCTGGCGGAGCAGCTGCCAGAGGCAGACCTGGTGGTGGGGTGAGTGAGGCAGCAATGCCGCTGTCGGGGAGCTTGGGCTGGTGCTGCAGCCAGAGGGCCATGCCCGCCCCTGGATGCCCTCCCAAGCAGCCTGCCCGCCACTGCCTGCCTGCCCACGCACCTCTCCCACCAGCCGGCCCTTCACTCCCACCCTCGGCTCCTCCCCTTCCACCGACCCACCCACCCCTGCAGCTTTGAGAAGTACGGCAGCCTGAGCGCCTCGCTGCGCACCATCCTGGATGCACCCCCCGACATAGACATGGACGAGTACCGGCAGCGCTCGCGCGTGCAGGTGGGCTGTGGGCTGCGGGATGCGGCAGGCTGTGAGCGCCGCACGCGCTGGCTGGCCCGCGGCAGCTGCGGCGGCGGGCAGGCCAGCTCAAGATGCCTGTGCGGATGGCCTGCTGGCTGGCTGGCTGGCTGGCTGTTGACTGGGTATGTGCTATGCACGCTGTGCAGGTGGGGGAGGCCACGGTGGCCTTCCGCCCCGAGTGGGACCGCCACCGCCTGACGCCCCGCCACACCGCCTACCTGCGTGTGGCTGAGGGCTGCAGCCACGCCTGCTCCTTCTGCGCCATCCCAGGGTTCAGGTGGGGCGCTGCCTGCCGCTGCTGCCGCTGCTGCTGGTGCCTGCTGGCTGTCGGGGTGCTGCTGCTGCCTCTCCTGCCTGCTGCCGCCTCTGCTGCCTGCTGCTGGCTGTCGGGGTGGAGCTGCCGGGCCAAGCCAAGCAAGTTCGGCTTACATGGGAGTGTTGCGCCAAGGAATGAAAAACACATGGCTGCGGGGTGGGTTCAGCTACAGCGCGCTACTCTTACTCAGCGGCGGCGACCCAGCCGCCCCCAGCCCCACCTCCAGCCCGCCGCTAGTCCTCCTCCGACTCATCCCCCTCCACAGCATACACGTGCGTCTTGGTGACCACCACCATTGCGCTCTCGTCCGCGCTGCCCGCACCCCGCGCAAAGTTGTCGTGCATGAACACTGCGGCAGGCGGGGCAGGCGGGGCGGGGGCGTGGCAGGCGGGCGGGTGAGCGCGCGCGGCGTGGGGCCTGGCGCCGCATGCACGTGAGGAGGCGGCGGCCAGGGCTGCAGCAGGGAGCACCAGGTGGCAGCCCCCTGCCGGCCCTGGGCCCCAGCCTAGGCGCTGCTGTGGTGCTGCACCAAAGCACAACGGCAGCCATGCCCGTGAGCCCTCCCCAGCCCCCACCTGAGTCCACCACGTGCTCGTTCTTGCGCACCAGGTGGTACTTGGTCACGGTGGTGAGGCCGCCGTACGACACCACCTCGGGCTCAGCCACCTTGACAGACCTGCGGGGAGGAAAGAAGCGCGAGGGCTCAGGGCCGGGCACGTGCAGCGGCCGCAGCCGCCGGCGCGGCGCCCGCCCGCCTCCCGGCCGCGCCCTGCTGTGCCGGGCCGCCTCCCCGGCTGCCTGGCCAGCCAGCCCAGCGGTCCAACCCACCCTCTGGCCCAGGCCTGAGCCCAGGCACCCCCTCCCCCCCCACACACCTGAAGTTCCACAGCACGGTGTAGTTGCCGCAGGATGCCACCACCCAGCGCTCCTGCCGCCCCTTCTCGGTGATCCACGTGAAGTGCCCCTTCTCCAGCGGGGCGCTCTTGGTCAGCTTCACATCCTCTGCACCACGGCGCGGGGTGTGAGGGTGGCGGGGCGGGCACATCGGCAGGCGCTCTTGTGAGTGCAGGGCCTGGGGTGGCGTGGGAACAGGCACGCGGCCGGCGGACACGCAGCCGCGGCCACGGCCCGCGTCCCCGCCCCACGCGCCGCACACCTGTCTTGAGGCGCAGCAGGCGCGGGGCGGGTGCGTTGGACCCCATGCGGCTTGTGAACCCGCACAGCTCCTTGCCGCTCTTGGGGTCGCGGTAGCTCGTCTTCAGCACCATCAGGTAGTTCTTGGTGGTAGCCAGCACCCACTTGCCTGCGGCGGCGGCGGCATGCGCGGGCGAGCGCGTGGGCGAGCGCAGGCGTGGCGGCGTCGGCGGCGTGCAGGAGGCACCACCCAGTGCAATGCAGCCCGGCCCGGCCCGGCCAGCCAACGAGGGGCGGGCCCTCCCCACGCCCGACCCCAAACGGAGGCGTGGAGCGCGCCGCGCTGCGCTGCGCTGTGCTGCGCTGCGCTGCGTGCTCACCGTCGTACGTGACGTCCACCGCGGTGATGGGCAGGCCCATGCCCGGTATGGACGTCTTGGCCTGCGTCAGCGTCTTCTCGCTGTACAGCCGCACCCGGCCGTCGTCGGCGCCCACCACCACGTACCCGTCGCCGCTGGTGGCCATGCAGCTGCGGGGCGTGCGGCCGGGGGGGAAGGCAGGGGGCGGGGCGCATGTGTGTGTGTGTGTGTGTGTGTGCGTGCGTGCGCGTGC